TATTGACTCATAAAATAAACAAGGAAAAGTCAGGGTTATTTCTGGCCTCGGTGACCAAAGACTTAAATCTCCCAGGACTGTTTCCCTGTTTTTGGCTCTCTGCGTCTGGCTCCCTGTGATCCGTTCATTCTCTCAGGCCACAGTTCATCTAGCAGGAAACAGGGCTATGGATCCCCACAGCCTCATATCTTCCCATCTTCACCTGTAGGACAGAAATGGTCTTTTCTCTTCAGTTCTAGATTAAGAAGTGTGCCAGAGAAGGTCCCTGACAGGCTCAGCTTTGAGTTACCTGCACATGCTCTGACAAATCATCGTGGTAAGGTGGCTCAGTCTGGGTCCAGTACCCACTTCTAAACCAAACCCTGTGACAGAGGGAGGGTCATATAAGAAGATGCCAACTCTCATCTGAACCATGGGTGCTGTTTTCTCAAAAAGATCAGGTGCCATTTCTTGTAGAAGGATAGTGTGCTGGGGTATAAATGACAAATATCCACCACATACAAATGGGATCATATTTCACCTGTTTTGCCACATGTTTTTGTTTTTCTTTTTATATTCTTCATTCTTCCATGTTCTGTGTTATTTCAGTGGTGATAACATTTAATGGCAGAATGATATTTTTTCCCGGAACCCAGACATGATGACTAGAAGTGACCAAGACAAGAGCCACACACTAAGGTTGGCAGAGCAGGGACACAGAGGACACCTAAGTCCTTGATGGCATCCCAAAGTTGCTGTACCAGCCCTACTTCTAGACTTCCTGATACATGAGGAAAACAGCCCTTAATCTGGATAAACCACAGAGGTCAGGTTTCTCTTACATACAGCCAAGTGCAGTTCCTTATAGGGGTGCTTCCAGGCAGCCTTCCACCATTAAAACTAGGCTGGAAAATGTATCACCGATGGGAAGAGAAGAGGGAAAGTGATGATAAAAACCCCAAAGAGGGGACACCTGGGAGGGTTAGCGGTTGAGTGCCTGCCTTTGGCTCAGGTCATGATCCTGTAGGGATCCCTGTAGGGATCGAGTCCTACATTGGGCTCCCTGTGAGGAGCCTGCTTCTCCCTCTGCCTATGTCTCTGCCTCTCTCTCTCAATCTGTGTCTCTCATGAATAAATAAATCCTTAAAAAAAAAAAAGAGGTTGAAAGGGAAATTAACATAAAAGAAATTGCTGCCTGGGGATCCCTGGGTGGCTCAGCGGTTTGGCACCTGCCTTTGGCCCAGGGTGCGATCCTGGAGTCCCGGGATCGAGTCCCGTGTCGGGCTCCCGGCATGGAGCCTGCTTCTCCCTCCTCCTGTGTCTCTGCCTCTCTCTCTCTATGTCTATCATAAATAAATAAATAAATAAATAAATAAATAAATAAATAAATAAATAAATAAATAAATAAATATTAAAAAAAGAAAGAAAAAGAAATTGCTGCCTATTTATTTTTTGAGCTGTTAAAGGAAACCAGACCCAGAGATCACCCCCAAATCAAGATGTAGTAATAATTACAGTAAGGTAGAAATGGCAGCCATAGATGAGCAGAAAGAGGGTCAGAGGTAGTACCCCAAGACTTACTCAGTGGCACACAGAGGATTCCAGAAGTCTCCATGTGCTACCAGTGAAGGTAACCAGAGTATCTGCAGGTAAGAGCCAGGAAGCCTCCCAGAGGGTCACTGTATGCCTGAGGACCTGTGACCAAGGCATCAGGACAGCAGCTAAGCAGGTATCAGAGAGAATAGACCTCCAGGTTTATGGATCAATGGAGATGGAATGAGGACAGAAGCTGATATGGTGATCTGGTGAGGTGACAGCACAAGGAGATGAGTAGGAGCCAGTGTAGAAGGTCAGCTGAGAATCGGGGTCCCATCCTTACTGCTTCCCCTCGCACCCTGGTAATATCTTGGGAAGCGCTAAGTGGAAGGGAGACCATTGGTGGAGAGAGACAGCTCTCATAGGGAGTTTAAACTTTAAATTTACCAATATTTACCCAAATTTGACTATTTTAAACCCAAAATGTTATTTTTAACTTGTAAGCAGAAGAATTTCCTGGGGATGAGAATCTCCTGAGGAATCTTAGTTTAATTATAGACACTTTAAAAACTTTTTTTTTACATCTGGGTCATACTGTGTACATTGTGACTGCCCACCCCCCTGCTTCCCATACACATCTCTACTATCAGTTTCCTTAAGGAGGTGTCACAGGAGTTTGACCAGGTACATCACAAGGAAAACATCCTAAAATCCACTTTAGTCCTGAGACAGCTGATCTCTGAGGTGGCCCAATGATCTGTGCCTCCTAGTATTCATGTCCTTGTCCCACACTGTACTAGGGTTGGTCTGCATGACCAACAGCACATGGCAGAAGGGATGGGATATCACTCCCAAGGCTAGATAAGCTTCTGCTTCTTTCTCTAAGACCAGTCATTCTAGGGGAACCCCCTGCCATATTGTGAGGAGAGGCCTGAGTATGAGGAGGAAATAGTCACATGAGTGAGCTTGGGAACAGATCCTCTGGCTCCAGTCAGGCCTTCAGATAACTGCAACCCCAGTCAACACCTGGAATGCAACCTCACAGGAGACACTCAGTTAGAAACATCCAGTTAATGTTCAGATTCCTGACCCATTGGAACCACAGTAAATGTCTGTTTTATACTATAAAGTTTGAGGGCTACTTTGTTATGCAGCCATAGATAATATAGTCCCTTAGATATTTCAGTTACATGGGATGTCTGGATGGTTCAGTCAGTTAAGTGTATGACTCTTGATTTCAGCTCTGGTCATGATCTCAGGGTCATGGGATGGAGACCCACTTGGAGCTCCGTGCTCAGCACAGAGTCTGCTTGAGGTCCTCTGTCCCTCTCCCTCTGCGCCTTCTGCTTGTTCTATTTCTCTCTCTCTCAAATAAATAATTTTTTAAAGATTTTTATTTATTTATTCATAAGAGACACAGATACAGAGGCAAAGACATAGGCAGAGGGAGAAGCAGGCACCCTGTGGAGAGCCTGATGCGGAACTTGATCCGAGGATCCAGGGATCATGACCCAAGCCAAAGGCAGATTCTCAACCACTGGGCCACCCAGGCATCCCTCAAATAAGTAAATCTTAAAAAAAAAAAAAAATCTCTCACTCCCTCTACCCATGCTCTCTCTTAAAAAAAAATTAAAATTAAATTTAAAAATCTGGTTATAATACCTGCTAAAAAACTCGCTTTTCATCCTCTCCTGCATTGCCTTCCCTCTGGCACGCCTATAACCACCCCACTTTCATTGGGTCATGGTCCTTCCCTAAGTGGCCACCTGGGGCACATGGCGTCATTTCATCTACTAGCTGCTTTTATTATAAGACCAAGCTTCTCCTCCCCTTCTTCATCCCATCTGCCAGTGATGAATAAAACACTGAGAGAACAAAGCTGGGGCAGAAGGAATGGAGGCCAGAGAGAGAGGCAAGAGATAGCCAGAGCCAGATTCAGTGACTCTTTATTCCTCTCCCCTCTACACTCTATGCTGATTGATTGGAGAGCCATGGAATCTTCCAGATGGCAGAATTACCAGAAAGACTCCTGAGGGGCCTGGGGATACCTTTGAGTCTCCTGGTCCTGAACCGTGTTCCAGTTATATGAGGCCTGGCACTCCCTAGGTTTCTAGGGTGTTCCTTGCTGTTTCTGGGTTCCCATGAGATTTGTTTTCCCTATTTCCATCTAACTAAAATACATCTGCTAAGCAAAACCAGACTTTTGGCTTTTTTTTTTTTTTTTTTTTTACAATTTATTTATTCACGAGAGACAGAGAAGCAGAGACACAGGCAGAGGGAGAAGCAGGCTCCATGCAGGGAACCCGATGTGGGTTGATCCTGGGACTCCAGGATCACGCCCTGAGCCGAAGGCAGCCCCTCAACTGCTGAGCCACCCAGGCATCCCCAGACATTTGTTTATTGTGGACAGAATCCCCCAAATACTATTGTGATTATTTTGCAGATAACTATAGTTACATAGCAAAATGATTGAGATGCAGTAGTTACATGAAAAAAACCACAACAGAATATTATCTGGTATTTTAGTATCTTCTATTATTTCTCTCCTCTGTTGGCCTGTGAACTTCATGAAAGCAATGGTCATATGTGATTCCTGTGGAACAACCTGGAATGTAGAATGTTCCCAGTGACTGTTAGAAGATGTACCATACACGTTTGTTGAAGGAATGGTTAAATTAACGTTGAAGGAGTCTTTCACATTAGCCATGAGCTAATAATTCTAAAATAACAAATGTTCTTCTTCTTTTTTTTAAGATTTATTTATTTATTTATTTATTTATTTATTTATTTATTTATTTATTTATTTATTTATTTATTTATTTATTTATGATAGGCAGAGACACAGGAGGAGGAAGAAGCAGGCTCCAAGCCAGGAGCCCGACGTGGGACTTGATCCCGGGACTCCAGGATCGCGCCCTGGGCCAAAGGCAGGCGCCAAACCGCCGAGCCACCCAGGGATCCCCTTCTTCTTTTTTTTTAATTGCACTGAATCGATAAATAGGTTAGACAGGTGTTTTCTTCATTGTAGAGAAGGGCTTCTATTATTTTTTAGATAAGGTCCGGCCCAGAGTGAACACTGGTTCTCACATAAGACCCGGTAATCTCCACAATTTGGAACCCATACACATCTCCTAGACTATTTGACACCCTCGCCAGCCTCCTCTGGCTATTAGCGGGTGTATTAACCCATGGAGAGAGAATTGTGATGCCAACCGAAAGGAGCAGAACGTTTGTTTTTCCTCTAACGGCTTCTGCCTGGGGTCTCTTAATGCATAGTCTTGAGCTGCCCTGGAGCCGGCCGGCTGCAGACACCGTGCAGGCTCTGGCCCCCCAGGATGGGGATCTGGCAGAGGAGGATCCACACGCCCGCGGCGCTTGGCAGGGGACGAGGTTCTAGAGCGCAGTTGGTACAGGGCTGCTCCGCGGCAGTCGGGCGAGGCCAGGAGGTTAGCATCTGCATATCCCTCTCTGGATGTACAGTCTCTGGATCCCTCCCCTCAACTCTGGAGAAGTGGTTCCAGCGGTAGGGAGAATTAGGTTTAGTGCTTGCCACCGCTCCGACCTGGGTATCCCGGGACTCCCGAGTCCACCGAGGTCTTGTTCGAGACTACATTTCCCAGAAAGCCGCGCGGTGATTGAAAGTTCTATCAGCCTATGGACGGACAAGGCTTCTGGTCGCGGAAAACGAGGAGCCAATGGTAAGGGGAGAGGGGCGGTGTTTTCCGGCTGCGGGCTGCCGAGCCACAGTCCCACCTGTGTCCCCTCAGCCCTGTCACGAATCCCGGTCGGGTCCGGGGAGGGACCACCTCCGCGTTGTGGGCCGGGTGCGGCTCGGCGGTGGAAGACTCTCACTTCCTGCTGCATCCCCGGCCAGGCCCCGGGGCGGTGAGTGATGCGGGGAAGGAGACAGCGGCGGTAGCCTGGGGCAGCTGAGGGGCGTGGAGGGGACTCGCCCGCTGCCGCGGTGTGGTCCCGGCCAGGTCTCCGCGCTCTCCTTTCGGAGCCCGCGGGGTCTGCTGAAGAGTGGGGAGAGGTAGCTGCGGTTTTCTGTGCCGTCGTCGGGATAGCCCATCCTCTGGATCAATGTTCTTGCCCTCGGTGGTGGTCCCCGGGCTTCAGCTTCGGACTGTGTGACCCTGTGACCGCGGCGCCCTGATTAGGGCCTGCAGCACTGCGGGGCGGGGGGGGGGGGGTGCCGGTGTCGGCCCACCCCCGCCGTCATGTCCCTATTAATAACCCCAGCGAACAAGCCGGTGCTGCTCACAATGGCAGTCACAGAACCTCTGTGTTCTGGGGCCTGCGGGGTCACCTGTCGGGGTTGGGGGGGGCGGGGCAGGAGAAGGCGGGAGGAGCAAGGTTTCTCTGACTCTCTCCCCCTCAGTCCGTCTCCTGCAAGTAAGCCCTCCATTTATGTTTCCTAATGGATGTAGAAATAAAACTTATGCTCAAAACTTAGCTTTTTTTTTTGTACCTCCTAATGATATTATTTTAATCTAGAGAGATGAAATGTATCCTTGTGGTTTTTAGGTCCTTAAAAACTCAGTACTTTATAAATGACCCAACAGCAATGTGTGGAAATGCATAAATGTTTCCATAAAAAGGGTGGGTGTCTTCTAGGAATACCCAGGTGCTTTGATTGGCGAAACCAAAAAAAGGGGGGTGGGGTAGGCGGAGAAAGACTCCAGCATCCTCACTCCAGTCTGGTTGGTCCATGGTCCAGTGAAATGCAGAATTTTTAGTAACAGATTCAGCTGGCTGACTTGTGTTTGTTTCTATTGGAAACTCTTTAAGCCATCCCCACCCCAAAAAACCCCAACCAAAACCAAACCCCCCCCAAACATTATGTTTCTCTGATTCCTAATGTCTTACAACATATTACTGAATAAATTACTGATCCATCCAGTAATCTGACCATTGCCCTCCAAAGAACTAAAAAAAAAAGAAAAGAAAAGAAAGAAAAAGTTTATTTATTTATTCATGAGAGGCACACAGAGAAGCAGAGACATAGGCAGAAGGAAGGGCAGGCTCCCTAGAGGGAGCCGGATGCAGGACTCAATCCCAGGGCCCTGGATCATGACCTGAGCCAAAGGCAGACACTCAACCACTGAGCCACCCATGCATCCCCAAACAATTTTTTCTTGATACTGCTATCAGTTTTATCAATGTGTTAGTGCTTGTTTTCAGGACCTATGGGTTTTGTTTTGTGCTTTTTTTGATTAAATTTTATTCTATTTTCCAGCATATCCATGTCCTTTTAGATCTCATTTCTGATTCCATTAAACCTTGAAATAGAATGGTACCCAGGGTCATTCCCTTTGGGGCTCTGCATAGTCTGTTCCTTGAGGTTGACACCCAATCTACAAGCCAGGAAAAGTCAGCTGTCCTCATAACTAATATGAGTATAATGAAGTCTGAAGTCCACCATTTGCTGGCTTGCTGGGAAAAATGTTGTTGGAGAGCTTTTCACAAATCAAGTCATTGTCCCATGTTCTCTTCTTTATCTTGTCCATCATGCACAATTTATTCCTCAAAAAGCTAATGTTTGCCAACTGAGGGTTCTGTAGATGTGTTTGGGAGCTCCAGCCCTCACTTAGTGTTGTGAGTGTTGGCCAAGGTAAGGATGATATAAACAAAGAAAAAGAAAAGCAACCCTTATGTGGTTGATAGAATTTACCTCATTGCTATTCTAGGCTGGGGGTGGGGGTTCTTTGGGTATACTGGGGCTGTCCTTTGGTTTTGAGACAATGGTTAGAATGTCCAGAGAGATTTCGATGCATACTGAGGTCTCTTGCTTTAGGAACTGATGACTCTCAATGATGTGGCTGGGGACTTCAGGGAAGAGTGGGTTACCTGGACACCGCTTAGAGAATTCTCTTCAAGGATACCACCCAACACAGTTAGAAGAATGGGCTCTCAGAGGGTAAGGATGCTACTCCCCTTTAGATTTAAGACTTAGGTTTGTGAGAGGGTCCAGGTCTGAGTGGTCTCTAGGGATGTTGGTCTCTTAGAGCTCCAGATGTCTGTGAGAGTATTTGTTGCCTCCCTGGCAGAAAAAGACTAACTTCCACTTTTTTTTTTTTTTTTTTTGGAATGACTTCCATTTTTATGGCATTTTATGGCTTATATATATCTTTGACATTTATTGTCTTGTTAATATCTCACCCTAACCCTTTGATGTGGGTATTATAATCTCCCTCTTTCAGGTCAGGACAGAGACTCAAAGTTAAGTGGCAGAGGTGAGAGTTCAATCCAGGTCTTTGTGGCAAAGGAGGAGGGAGCTGTGTTTTTTTTCTGTCACTTAGAAAACAAACAAACAAAACAAATCTCCAGTGCTCTTCCTAAAATACAATGGCTACCCCTTCTCCTTGCTTTACTTCATATACACTCCTTGAAGAAAAAGGGAAACAAAATGAAAACAAAACAAAACAAATCCCACTCCATGCCACTACTGAAGAGTTCCTATCCTTCCAGCCATTGTTTTAAGCATATTAACAAAAACAAAAGGAAAAAATTGGGATTGTACTGCAAGTGCAGTTGTGCATCTCACTTTTTTACATATTGTGTTGTGAATATATTTTAGACAATAATAATAGACAACATTTTTTCTATACATTGCTTAAAATAACCACTTAGTATTTTATTGTATGGAATATAATAACTTATATGAGGTTGAACCTCATATTTAACCATCTTTTAAACTACCTTTTTAGCTTATACAATCGCAATTTCGTATGGCTCAAATATGATTATTCCTTTTTCATGGAATGTTTAGGTCATTTCCAGATCCTTTCCAGTTTTGTGACAAACATCTCTTAGCTAACTGTCTTTCTTTTTTAGGTTTTGTTTATTAAAGTATAGTTAGTTAATAATTAGCTAATGTATCTTTTGCACGACTTTTTTTTTTAAGATTTATTTATTTAAAAAAAAAGATTTATTTATTTTTTTGTAATCTCTGCCCCCTATGTGGAGGTCAAACTCACAACCCTGAGATCAAGAGTCACCTACTTTTTCAACTGAACCAATCAGGTGTCCCACAACTTTTTTTATTATTATTATTTTTTCATTTCCTTAGAATTCCCAGAATTAGAATTGCTGGATCAAAGAGTCTGGGTTAAATAATAGTGACAGCTAACATTTATTGAGGACTTACCACTTAATCCTTGCAACAACACTATGAGGTAGGCCTTGTTCTACAGATAAAGACCCTTAATCCTTGCAACAACACTATGAGGTAGGCCTTGTTCTACAGATGAAGACCCTGAGACACAGAGAGTTTAAGTAAGTTTCCTGAGGTCACACAGCTAGTAAGATGAAGGGTTAAGGTTGAAACTAGGCAGTTTGCATTCTTTACCTCCATATTATATTGTCTAACTGTATCCTTGTTTTTATTTGATTTTCTTTGGTTAATGGTGAGGTTAAGGGATCCCTGGGTGGCGCAGCGGTTTGGCGCCTGCCTTTGGCCCAGGGCGCCATCCTGGAGACCTGGGATCGAATCCCACATCGGGCTCCCGGTGCATGGAGCCTGCTTCTCACTCTGCCTATGTCTCTGCCTCTCTCTCTTTCTCTCTCTGTGACTATCATAAATAAATTAAAAAAAAAATTAAAAAAAAATTTTTTAATGGTGAGGTTAAAGGTTTTTTATGTATTTAAAGACTACGTGTGTATATGTGTGTGAATTGCCTGTTTATGTCCTTTGCCCTTTTTTTTCCCCCTTACAAGTATTTGTTTTTTTCTCATGGCTGTATCTACTGCTGCCCTTCTGGGAAAAGTTTAAAGCCCAACATTATAGTTAACTTCCCTGATTCTTTCTAAGGGTGAGGTCATGGCAGCATTGTTTCTGATAAAATTATCTCTCTACATGGGTTTAGCCTTGTGCTTTCAGAAATGAATTATTGTGTTCACTCTAGAGTTTCTATCACCCAAGTCTGGTTGTTTTGTTGTTGTTTTTTTTTTTTTTTTTATGATAGTCACACAGAGAGAGAGAGATTGAGGCAGAGACACAGGCAGAGGGAGAAGCAGGCCCCATACACTGGGAGCCCGACGTGGGACCCGATCCCGGGTCTCCAGGATCGCGCTCTGGGCCAAAGGCAGGCGCCAAACCGCTGCGCCACCCAGGGTTCCCGTTTTGTTGTTGTTTTAATGGGAGGAAAGGGGCTTTTTTCTTAGCCTTTTGGGGAGATCATCCTGTTTTATCACTCCTTTCAATGAGACCAAACATATGTTAGCTTAGCGTCTCCCTGAGCTTTTCCCTCCACTTAGGGAGAGGAGAGTTTGGCTTTTTGGTCAGGCATTGTATGGTTGGCTCAGATTAACATCCTATATTCACCTTCCTGTATAGGATTTCCAGGCCAAGTGTAGTCTCCCAGCTGGAGCAGAAAGAAGACCCATGGGTGCTACCACTCCAAAATTTTGAGGCAAGGAAGATCCTAAGAGAAACGCACACAGGTGAGATGTGAATATTATCCAGTGGGAAGAAATCTCACATTTCAGCCCTTGTTTAGATGAAGAACTTGGAATGCTGCCATAGACTTTTGTTCACTATTAGAAGTTTAAATCTGACTTCTTGGGCAGTCAGTAATTGACCAAATAAAGTCTTCATTTAATTTTTATTTTAAGTAAACTTTATATCCCCAACATGGGGCTTGAACTCATAACCCTAAGATCAAGCAAGAGTCACTTGTTCTGCCGACTGAGCCAGCCAGATACCCCTAAAATCTTCATTTATTTTTTTAAAGATTTAAAAAAAATTTATTCATGATAGACAGACAGAGAGAGAAAGAGGCAGAGACACAGGCAGAGGGAGAAGCGGGCTCCATGCATGGAACCCGATGTGGGACTTGATTCCGGGTCTCCAGGATCACACCCTGGGCCGAAGGTGGCGCTAAACCGCTGAGCCACCCAGCCTGCCCAAAATCTTCATTTATTTATTTTTTGTTTGTTTGTTTGTTTGCTTGTTTGTTTTTAAAGATTTATTTCAGAGAGAGAATATGTGTGAACAGGAAGAGAAACAGAGAGGATCCTCATGCAGACTCCCCTCTGAGTGTAGAGCCCCACACGTGGCTCAATCCCAGGATCCTGAGATCATGACCCAAGCCAAAATCAAGAGCTGGATGTTTAACCAACAGAACCACCCAAGCACCCTTCAAGATTCATCTTAAAACAAAAAAGGTTTAGGAATTTACATTTTTCTGTAAGCTTAATGAACTTCAACAAACTTTTTACAAAATGAGAAGTACCTGGCTGACTCAGTTGGTGGACATGTGACTCTTGATCTCAGGGTTATGAGTTTGAGCCCCATGTTGGGTACAGAGATGACTTAGAAATAGTGTTTTTAAAAAATTAAAATAATTAAAAAAACCTTTTCACCAAGTGAAAACTTTACAGAAAGTCAAATTAAATGTCATCTGTTGCTAATGCACTAATCTCATTCTTTCTAACTGCCCTCTGATGTTTTTTCCCTGATAACTGGTTAACTTTGTTCCCTGTTACTTTTGTTAATTTTTCAGACTTTGAGAATCAGGTGACAAAACTCAATCAGGACATTTCAGAAATAGCAGAACAATGTGGAACATCGTCTGAAAGGGCCAATGAAGATATTTCTGACACTCCTGGATGGGGAGGGAACTGGGAGAGGGATCTTGAAATAGAAGGGCAACATGGAACCCTCTCCTGGAAGGAGAAGAAACCCCTTCCACAGGAGAAGGATTTAAATAAGCTACTGGATGGATATGTAGAAAAGAAGCCTGTGTGTGCAGAATGTGGAAAAAGCTTTAACCAGAGCTCCTATCTCATAAGACACCTAAGAACCCATACTGGTGAGAGGCCTTATAAATGCATTGAGTGTGGGAAAGGCTTCAAACAGAGTTCAGACCTTGTTACCCATCGCAGAACACACACAGGAGAGAAACCCTACCAGTGCAGCGGGTGTGAGAAAAAATTCAGCGATAGCTCTACGCTCATCAAACATCAGAGAACCCACACAGGTGAGAGACCCTATGAGTGCCCAGAGTGTGGGAAGACTTTTGGGCGGAAGCCACACCTCATAATGCACCAAAGAACCCACACAGGAGAGAAGCCCTACACGTGTCTCGAATGCCATAAAAGCTTTAGTCGAAGCTCAAATTTCATCACCCATCAGAGGACCCACACAGGAGTGAAGCCTTACAGGTGTAATGACTGTGGGGAGAGTTTTAGCCAGAGTTCAGACTTGGTTAAGCACCAACGAACCCACACAGGAGAAAGGCCCTTTAAGTGCCCAGAGTGTGGGAAGGGCTTTAGAGATAGTTCTCACTTTGTGGCACACATGAGTACTCACTCAGGAGAAAGGCCTTTCAGCTGTCCTTACTGCCACAAAAGTTTCAGTCAGAGCTCACATCTGGTCACACACCAGAGGACACACACAGGTGAGAGGCCATTTAAGTGTGACAACTGTGGGAAGGGATTTGCCGACAGCTCTGCCCTCATAAAACACCAACGGATCCACACAGGGGAAAGGCCCTACAAATGTGGTGAATGTGGAAAGAGCTTCAACCAGAGCTCCCACTTCATCACCCATCAACGAATCCACTTAGGAGACAGGCCCTATCGCTGTCCCGAGTGTGGCAAAACCTTCAATCAGCGTTCCCATTTTCTCACACACCAGAGAACGCATACAGGAGAAAAACCTTTCCACTGTAGTAGATGTGACAAGAGCTTCCGTCAGAAAGCACATCTCTTATGCCATCAAAATACCCATTTGATCTAGGAAATGGTTTGTAGTGGTTCTTCTGCCCCTTTCCAGATTTTCATTTCTGTTGTCTCCAGGTGCTACATATAGAGAAAGGCTAAATGTGGGTGTCAGTGGCTCAAGTTAGGCCCTGGTCTGCCCTCTGTCTTTTTCCTACACTTTAATGACAAAGATAAACGCATAGGCTACAAATAATGTTCTGAACACAAAAGGCATTCCTTCAGTGTTTTTAACTGACCTTAGGGAAATGTAAGCTTGATGGTTGGTGCTTGATTACTAAAAGAGGAGTGAGATACATTATCACTATTAATGATAAGTATTTGAGATGTTTTTAAAGATTTTGTTTATTTATTCATGAGAGACACACAGAGAGAGGCAGAGACACAGGCAGAGGGAGAAGCAGGCTCCTCCTGGGGAGCCAGATGTGGGACTCGATCCCAGGACCCTAGGATCGTGACCTGAGCCAAAGGCAGACACTCAACCACCTAGGTGTCCCTAATATTTGAGATCTTATTATAAGCCCTTACAGCTGTATAAGCCTGACTCTTAAAAAGACTCCCAATACGTTTTTTTTTCACTCTTATGACTCCATAAGGAATTCCTTAGTGCAGCCCCATAAGCCCAGAACTTGCAAGAAATTAGATTGCAACTAAAGGATTTGGGGTGTGAACACAAAGATTTAATAAAACCAGAAAACACTCTCTGTATCCAATGCCATGCAGACATTAGTCCCCAGATGTCTCAGTGCCATGACTAGGCAGAATTCTCGTAGAGGATGTTTGTGGTCTTATGACTTCAAAGCTGAGAGAATTTCCGAAGCCCTTTGTACAGCAGCAGTGTATAAAGTGCTCCCACTGGAGATTTGCTGCCACCTGAGGCAGAGAAAATAACCTGCGACAAACAAGACCAAGGGACCTGGAAGAGGACTGTAAAAATATGGGATCAAAATTGCTGGAATGTTAAATATTTCAGGGGTCCTTCCTGGCATCTAGGTGAAGGAAACAAAACTCCTGTTTTCTAATTGCCTGGGCCATGGGCTCTTTAGTCTTAAGTTAATGGAACTCTCTGATTTTTTTTTTTTGTCGAATCCATTTTATGCACTAGTACATTCCTATATTTAACTGAAATAAATTGAGGGAAGGCTGTGTGTCGGAAAGAACACTGACTTCATTGAGAGGGTGAGGTGTTTGAGTACTGGCCCCGACGTTTAATTTGGCCAGACTTTACCTTCTCTCAGCCTCTACCTTACTACCTACCTCACAAGGCTCTTGTGAGGATCTAATGCGTGCACACACGCAAACACTTTGTTGTTAAATTATAAAATAATAATGTCTCTAAAGTTCAGTATTGTTGGAAATGTCTTTCCTCCAGGGAACTCTGGCTAATATTTCTCCAGGTGTCCCATGTTTCTCTCATAATAACAGATTTCTTTCTTTATCTGTTGAAAACCTAAGACCTGCAATCACTAAACAACTCATTGTGGGTCACATAGGCAATGGAGGAGCCAAAATGTGGCTGCAAGTGTCCAACAGCACAGAAAGGACAAGCACTGAGATTTACTAGAGTATCTCTGAGACACCCCACGTAGGACTGGATGCCCTGTATTATATGCATCAAACCATCTTGAATTTGGAGATGATGGAGGCAATGTGGCCTAAGTTCCAGAGAGCCCCACAGGATTCTGTGTTGGGGAGTAGAAGGGAAAGAGTAGACAGGTGGTTAAGGAGGGAGCTGGGTGTTTCACCACCCGGAAAGAAAAGTGGTGAGCTGAAGGTATTCCTCTTTCCAGCCTTCCTATGGCAATGCAGACCAAATTATCATCATTTTTTAAGATTTTATTTATTTATTCATGAGAGACACAGAGTGGCAGAGACACAGGCAGAGGGAGAAGCAAGCTCCCAGCAGGGAGCCAAATACTGGACTCCATTGCAGGACCCCAGGATCACGACCTGAGCCAAAGGCAGATGCTTAACCACTGAGCCACCCAGGTGCCTTGCAGTCCAAATTATTGTGAGCCTTGAAACAAGAGTTCCTTGTCTTCCATTATATGCGATGTGGTCAGAGTGCTGTAACTCAGGGGGATAGAACTCAGCCAATAACCTAAGCTCTTTCTTTGAAAGAGTAATTAGATTTTAAAAAATCTGGTTAATCCAGTGCACCGGTTCTCAAAATGTGAGCCCAGACCAGTAGCATTAGTGTCACCTGGGAACTTGCTAGAAATGCACATTTTAAGTTCCCACCCCAGAGCTGCTGAATCAGAAACTCTAGGGGTGGGGCTCAGCAATGTGTGTTTTAATAAGCCCTCCAGGCGATGGTGATGCACGCCTGAGTTTGAGAACCACTGCATTAAAAGGTGTCTTTTCCATTAAAACACAGCCACGATACTATTATTACTGTTGAAAAAAAAAATGAACAGCATCATCAGATATTTCAGTCAATGTTCACGTGTCCCTAATTATCTTGTTTTTTGCTTTCATCACTGTTTTTTAGTTTGTTTGGATCAAAATTTAAATAAGGTCTCCAAATCAATTGGTTGGTATGTTCCTTACAAGTCTTGAGCTGAAGTTCTCCCCACTCTTCCTCTCTCTGTCTCTGTTCTTTTCTTATAACTTATTTGTTTTATTTGTGTTGTTTTTTAAAATATTTTATTTATTTATTTGAGAGAGACAGTGAGAGAGCACAAGCAGGGGGAGTGGCAGAGGGAGAGGGAGAAGCAGGCTGCCTGCTGAGCAGGGAGCCTGACATGGGACTCGATCCCAGGACCCTGAGATAATTACCTGAGCCGAAGGCAGATGCTTAACTGACAGAGCTGCCCAGATGCCCCCACAGAATTCCTTCAGTTTTTAAATATTACTACCTGAATTTCAGCCTCCACGCCCTAGATTTCTGAGCTCCTTCCCAGGAGAGACTGTTTCTGGACATTTATAAATGCATAAATATCACAACTTTTCTAATGTACTCCTTTGTTTATCTCCTGCCTAACTCCTCTCCAGTTTGTCTGGTTCTCCCATAAAACAGTGTGCTAAAGAGTTCAGTAAATACTTGAATGATTCCCTCGTCAGGGATAGAGTGCAACTTGCCAATATTATCCTGGCCTGAAGCTGGAGAGAAAGCCACATCACTATTAGGAAGGAATTATTTTGCTTCCCTTTTATGATAATATGAGTGAATACCATCTTAATTTTTTATCTACCTAAGTATTGTTCTAAATTGAATACAATCTGTGTGTTAAACAACAGCAATAATTTGTAAAAATCAGATGAGAAGGTAAGGGAAAAGCCTGGCTGGCAGAGATAAGGGGTAATTTATGTGAAATCCAGGGGTACCATCTCCCAGAAGTAGAGTGTTTTTTCCAGGGGCAGGAAGTAGAACAAGAAAAGTACAGAGTTGAGTATGATACCCCACAGAAGTGACATCCTGAGAATTTTGCACTGGGTTAATGCAAGATGTCTTGGAAGGATATCCCCACAAGAAGGAGCCAATTAGGGGCGCCTGGCTGGCTCAGTCTGTTAAGCCTCCGGTTCTTGATTTCAGTTCAGATCATGATCTCAGGGTTGTGGGATGGAGCCCCACGTGGTGTTCCACACTCAGTGGGAAGTCTGCATAGATTATCACCCTCTCCCTCTGCCTCTCCCCCTGCTCAGTTTTGCTTTTTCTCTAAAATAAATGACTACATCTTTTTTTTTTTTTTTAAAGAGCCAGTCAGACACTTAGAGGGACACAAAAGCTACATTATTAAAGACAAGCAGCATAACCCTGAACGCAGTTAGGAGTGTGATGTGTGCTCATTGTCTATAATAGACCCTACATTTAGGAGGCAGGATGTGGAAGCAGCACAGAACCATACCCAGTTTCTGGTTTTGATGCAATTATTTACTAGCTGACTGTCCTTGGATGGGTCAATTGACCATTTTAGACTTCAGTCTATCAGTTAAATCAGAAAAAGATCCTTCTGGCTGTAGCACTTTACACATCTGGGGCTCTCATAAGTCCCCAGTACTGATATTGTGCACAGGCTGTTTTGCATTGGCACCTTCATGCTCTGAGAGGATAAAAGTAAGCATCCCACAGCCTGAGTCCCTCTCCAGTCTCCCACTCAGCCCTCTCTAGGTCCTGGAAGAGAGGCAAAACCTCATTGCTGGGGGTGCCTGGCTGGCTTAGTCAGGAAGCCATGCAGCTCTAGATCTCAGGATCCTGAGTTCCAGCCCCACATTGGGCAAAGACCGTATAGAAAAAAAACAAAACAAAACAAACTACCCCCTACCCCCACCTCATTGCTGCCAGTAGTTAGCACACTGCCTCCAAACTAAAGACACCCCCCCCCCCCAGGATCCAGCCTCTCCTATCCCTCCTTCCTAACAGTGTTTAACAGACCCAGATCATTGGCTGGTTGTATACTACATCTGTTTCTATTACCTTGTTTTAGATGTTATATATCTACAGATGTGACTGTCCTGGAAGATGTGATCTCCTGAGGTGCAGTGTGTGATTTGCTTTGTGGCTCTGTCACACACACACACACACACACACACACACACACACACACACACCAGCCATGAGCAGGAATATTTAAATGCTATTGGTGAAAGTAGAGGTAACTGACTTTCCATATTTTCTCTTTGTTTCTACCCTATGACTGGGCCATTAGCTTCTCGCACATGCTCCACACTTCTCTCCATCACTTCTAAATCCATGTCCTCGCCAAACCCTAACTATCTTAACTCTCGGATTCCTCTCGAACCTATGTCAGACCTCCATCCCCACTGCCACTCCCCAGCTCCAAACAACCACCATTCTCTTTTCTGAATTCCTGCCCTAGCCTCCTAGTCGATCACCCTGATTTTGTTTTGTTTTTGCTCTAATATCTCAGAGAAACCAAAGTAATCATTTAAAATCCTTAATCTACTCATATCACCCATCTGCTTAAAAGCCTTCGGTTTCCCACTGCTTTTATTTATTTATTTATTTATTTATTTATTTATTTATTTATTATTTTTATTTATTTATGATAGTCACAGAGAGGGTGGGGGGAGGCAGAGACATAGGCAGAGGGAGAAGCAGGCTCCATGCACCGGGACCCCGATGTGGGATTCGATCCCGGGTCTCCAGGATCGCGCCCTGGGCCAAAGGCAGGCGCCAAACCGCTGCGCCACCCAGGGATCCCCCCCACTGCTTTTCCTTAGCCAGACCTACAAGGCCCCCTTGGTCTGACACACACAACCCTCAGCCTCCTTTGATATCCCTTCTCACATTCCCTCTGTTCCTTGATCGCACCAATGGGTTGTGTACATCTTAAAGCCTTGGTCCTAACTGATCCCTCCACTCAGAATGTTCCTCGCCCAAATCTTTGCTTAGGTTCCTATGTATCAACCAGCTTTCAGCCTGAAACTCACCTCCTTGCAGAGACTTTCCCTGACTGTCCCCAGCTAAGTTGGTCCTCCTCTCCCCATACTCACTATCCCATTACTCTCTCTTACTGTCATCAATATCCATACACCTGTCGGAGAGTTTCCTGTTTATTGCTTGTTTTGGTAAGCTCCATGTTAAGAGGGAGCCACTTTTCTTGCTTACCATTCTATTCCCGATACCTAAAATAGTGTCTGATATGTGGTAGGTGGTCAATAAATGCTCACTGGATGGATTAAAGGATACATACTCACAAGCAAGAAACTTACTGTATTGGAAAAATAGCAGTGTGAGATGAAGCTGAACAGGTGAGTGACGGTCAGAACAAAAAAGCTCTTAGTTGCTAAACTGAGGATTTCAGATAGTATTCTCTGGGAGGGGGTATCACTGATGGCCCAGTAAAAGCCAGGTATGATCAGCAGTTGAGGAATTTGATTTGACAGTTATATTAGAGAAACAGAAGGCATTGAGACAACCTATGATATAAAGTGTTCATAGCACAATGCCTGACCCATAGAAAGTCTCCAATAAACAATTTTCATCACTAAGCATCATGGCAGACACTGGGAGACCCCAGAACAATAAGGCAAGATCATTAAATCTTCTTCCTACCTCAAAATAATTCTTCCTAGGGGCACCTGGGTGGCTCAGTGGTTGAGCATTTGCCTTCAACTAAAGTCATGATCCCTGTGTCCTAAGATCAAGTTCCCCATCAGGCTCACTGCAAGGAGCCTGCTTCTCCCTCTGCCTATGTCTCTGCCTCTCTCTGTTTGTCTCTAATGAATAAAGAAATAAAATCTTAAAAATAAATCTTCCTAGACCCTGTTATTATACTCCTTCACTTTTTTGGGCCAAAACTCCACTTATATATAGCTATTCTCAGGACTGTCATGTCTAGGCTATTTAATAGGGCTTCCCACCCCCATCATGTCTTTGGCTTAGATTCCTTTTTCTCCCTTATTTGCTATATTTTGTTGGTGCTAAGTCACAAGCCTCTGCCTCTGTCCTGCTTTCTCTCTTTTTAAATTGTAAATACACCACATGCTTTCTTTAAACATTTCCATAAATACAGAACTACCCAAAGAAAAAAAAAAAAAAAAAAGGAGAGGCACCTGACAGGGTCAGTTAGAAGAGTGTGCAACTCTTGGTCTTAAGGTTGTGGGTTTGAGCCTCATGTTGGTATAGAGATTACTAAAAAAAATAATAATAATAAACTTAACAAAAAGTAAATAAGCAAAAGAAAAGTACTGGCCCCTGTGTGTTTAAAAAAAAATGGAAATGCCTGGTCTCTTCCTCATTCCCAACCCCAATTTCATGACCCAGATTTTAACTCTGTAATAGCCCTGCAAACCAAGTCTCGTTTCTGGCTCCTCTTCACTGCTGCTGTCATCATCTGAACTAAAGGGTTGGTTTTCCATCTGGCCACCTTGACTTTTGCCTTCAGTTCAGCACAACAAACATTTAGTGCTTATTACACACTAGACCCTACACTAGACCCTGGAGGTAAAAAAACAAGACAGTGAAAGAGATCCATGTGTACCTCTTCAACTCTGAGCAAATTACTGACTCTTTCTGACCCTTATTTCCTTCTCTGCAAAATGAGAGTAAGCCAGTACCTTCTTCATGGGGTTGAGTGGAGATCAATGAGATTACACACAGGAAACTCCCTGTGGGGGACACCTTGGTGGCTCAGCGGTTGAGCGTCTGCCTTTGGCTCAGGGCTGTGATCCCATGGTGCTAGGATGGAGTCCTACATCAGGTTCCCTGCATGGAGCCTGCTTCTCCCTCTGACTATGTCTCTGCCTCCTCTCTCTCCCTGTCTCTTTGTCTCTCATAAATAAATAAATAAATAAATTCTTAAAAGAAAGAAAGAAAACTCTCTGTGTAGTACCTGCTTTTATCTGCTCCATAAATGTCAATGATGATAATGATAATGATGATAATCTTTGCCTTGAAGGAGTTTATAGTTTAATGGAGAGACTTAAAGAATAAGAATTATCTAGGGGCGCCTGGCTGGCTCAGTGGGTGGAGCATGTGACTCCCAACCTTGGGGCTGTAAATTTCAGCCCCACATTGAGTGTAAAGATTACCTTTTTTTTTTTCACAAAGGGAGAGAGACAGAGGGGTGCACTCGTGTGGGGATAGGCAGAGGGAGAAGGAGAGA